GACCCCCCCACCCCCACCCCCCCATAAAAAAAACAACTGGGCTCCCCCAAAGTCCACGGTATAGTTCGAACACTGACTAAGATTATTAAGCATTTCAAGACTAAATCAAAAATGCCTGTCAAAATTAACACTGAAACAAAGATGTCATAAAACAGGAAAACATAAAAGATAGTTTAGCCATTCTTTTCATTCAACACCTGGAGAACACTGTTAAGTCTTTATCATACTTAAAATCAGAGAAACAGAGGTGAATAAAACAGCAAGACATGGGCTGTAGTATGTTCTGTAGGGTCCAGACAAGATGTTCCAACTTGCTTTGGAGCAGTTGACCCATGCTTTCAAAACCTATTGAAATAAATCATGTGTCATTGTTAAAACCAACACACCAACACAGTTCTTGTTCATTTTGAGGCAAATAAACAAATAAAAACAGTTGTTTTAACTATGCCATTAACTATGTTCAGGATCACACGTGATTTTCCACTTGTCTGGATTGTTACCAAATTACAGTTCATGTACATGTTCATTCTTTTTAATTTCCTAAACATCTTTTCAACCAAGATCATTATAATGCAATTTTTAGTGTTGCTAAAGGAAAATCTATAGCATTAGAAGACATAATGTGAGTGACATTTGCCGGTACATGTGTAGTTGGCTAAAACGTAGTTGTCTGTTTGCACACAAAGAAAAACAATTAGAACTTTTTAGACGGTCCCTAACGAATTTCCCGCACTACATTGGACATTCGCAAGTAAATATGCCATCAAACCAATACTTGGCCATTTTGATCGATTGTGAAACAAAATGAAGTAGGTTGACAATGGTGTCGCTGATTAGAATTTGCAAAAAATAACTTTATTGCACTTATAATTAGAAAGTTATTGAACGCGGAAATGTGTGAATGTTGTGAATGTGCGAATATAAAACCAACTTTACCCAAGTACGTGATTTAGGGATCTGATTATAATATTACCGCCCCTTAATTAATCTGTAAGTTTACACCCACTGGCGCCTTCATTGTGTTTTCGCAAGCGACAACGGTGTACCAGTTCTAAATCCATGGCGAAAGTTTGAGCAGAACATGCTAACTGTTCTGCCTTTGGCTGCACAGACGAGCATAGAACACTGTTTAGCGTCCCAGCCCCAGTAGCCCCTTCACTGCAGAACAAAGATCCAGGGGACGGGGTTGGATCCACATCTAGGGGGTGGAGATGGTAGGTTTAGGGGTGGAGTTGGGTGGGTTTAGGGATCAGGGGGTGGAGACGGGTAGGTTTAGGTAAACTAGTGTGTGAATGAAAACTTAAAAGTTTAGTACTCACATGCTTTCTGCCCGTGTGCTTCGGATGTGTGCGCTCAGGAAACAGTATATCAGAAGTTTAAACAAATATGGTTTAAAACGCATGATTTCAGCGCGATAAACATGATAATCAGAACCAACAGAACAGATGTTTTTTTAGCAGGTCCAAGTTGTAATGGCGCAGCTCCAGTTCTATTCTGGAAAAGGGGGCGGGGAGCAGCAGCTCATTTGCATTTAAAGAGACAGGCCCGAAAACCAGCATGTTTCTGCTTCCACTCAAAATAGGCATTTTCAAAATGATATAATAAATGATTTGTGGAGTATTTTGAACTGAAACTTCACAGACACATTCTGGGGACACCAGAGACTTATATTACATATTGTAAAAAGGGGCATAATATGTCTCCTTTAAAAGGGGGAAAACAGTCCTTTCGTTGCATTTTTTTCGGGTTTTGTTTTGCACCTTTTATGTATTATAATTAATACATCAAAAAGTGCAAAACCATTAAAACAATAGCGGGTGGAATTAAAATTACATTTAATTTAATATTTTCAGAATGTTTTTGTAAGGCAGCTAATTTACATTTACATTTAATTTACAAATAAAGTACATTTATTTATTTATTTATTTTATTGTTGCAGGATATTGACGTTTTCACAGATTTGCATATTTGTTGTGTTATAACTGAAACCTTAGGCGATGTGTTGTATTGATTCTTGCTGTTGCACAAGTAGATATGTTTGTATTCTAGTCCAGATAGTTAATAAAACAAAATAGGGGGAAACATATTTACATTATATAATTAAGTTTTTCTTATCGTAGTTGTTTTTGTGGTTGAGAACCACTGCATTATAGTCATTTGTATTCCCTTTTTCTAAATGTTACGGTAACATTGAGTAGGCGTACGAAATGGGAGGGATCTATATGACTGAATTAAAAAAAATTAGACGTGGAAAAATTATTCTTATTGATTGTTTTAATTAACTTAGGTCTGAAGAGGGCGCCTCAAGGCCCATAATGGCCGATTTATTTTACTGTGTCTGTGTATTGTGCCAAAAATTAAAGTCACTGTCTACATTTTATTCAACTGCATACAAACAATGGATTACAATTAAATAAAAGCCAAGGGTTCATACATAGCCAAATAAAACACAGTGCTAAATATATATAAAATCAGAAATAGAGATGCCAAATAAATGTTACATGAATCACTTACATGCAACAGCCCACTGATCAAAATATTAATAAATAAAAACAAACATAATACAAAAACAAAAGTCAGTATGCATCCCAGTTAGCCTTTTTGTTACAGAAGGCGCATAAAATTAATATAGATCCTAATATCTCTCTGAATGTAAAAAAAAAAAAGCTTTTACCTTTTAATACCTTACATTTACGGATAAACAACATTTACGCTAACAATTTAAGTTGTGTAGAAATATAAATTATCATATTGCTTCTGGAAACTGACAAACCCAAACAAAACATTTTTATGAATAAAAAAAAAAATGAATAAAACTCAATATGAAATCTACAATGACCTGACAAATGTCCTGAGACAGTTTTGTTGTGTCTTATTTTCGTATATAATTAGCACAAAAATAGTAGGCTACTTGATAGGACACATGTCCATCAGTACTTCGAGTTCCTACATCACGTGACACAAATCTGGCCAATCAGTGCACACCTTAAGGTCCCGGAAACGAGCCGGGCGTAACCACAGTACTCACGTTGTCCTTTCTAGGTTTCGGTTGTATTTCTGTGCTTGAACTACCTGCCCCGCTAATCATTTTGTTACTAGCCGTATACGATCTCCAACCAGGGGAAGACAGACACAACTCTGACAGGTACACAAGACCGTCTCTTTACCAAGCATCGTCATAAATTAATAGTAAATTCTGAGACATTACATTTGTATATTTGACGTATAAACGCACATATTGCGGCGCCGTTGTCAGTTAAATGTCTGTTTATATGGTTCAGGAAGGCGATGGAGAGCCAGCCAGCTAACATTAGCCATTAGTGCTGGTCATGATAAAGGCTTGTAGCACTGTCAGTCTGTCTTAGCTGTTGGTTTTGACAGATAAATGGCCGGCGGGCCTGGTCTTCTTCAGTATAGTTATCATATGGATGATTGCTAATCGCATGTGCACTATCCTTCAGCCACACGCTGAGACAGTGGCCCAAGGTTAGACAGTCTGTGTGTGCATGAATTGTAAACATTGTCATGTATTTGGGTTGCAGATCTGATTGCACCTGTCATTTCATTGGAGTCGGACATTTTACTCGTCTCTTCTTCGGCTTTGATGGGATTGGGGTTCATTCTCCATCCCTTGTTGTCGTGTTGCTGAAATAAAGCATAACTAACATGTTTTTCGTCAACACCGTGTTTTCTTTCTTTTCCTATAATGCGCTAAACATGCATGATTTTATTGCAACCTAATGAGCGTGTTTTAGCTATGAAATTGTGTATTTACAAAAACACGAATTGTGCAAGTCTCTCAGTCTATTTCCTTCCTCTTATGTAAATAATGGTTTATAAAACACTTTGAATTGTGTTTTCGTGACTACATGATGCGCCATTTGATGCACCTGATTATCTGAACCTGCAGGCGGTTTAGGGGTTTGAAAATGGTTACCATAACCCCTATGGCATTTCCTTCATATGTTTTCAAAGTAAATGGTATTTGTGTCTTATTCAGGGCTGAAACAGGTTGTGTCGAGCCATGGCATTCAGTAAAGGTTATCGTATTTATCATAAGCTGGATCCACCTCCATACAGTGTGATTGTGGAGACCAGAAATCGAGAGGAATGCCTGATGTTCGAGTCTGGAGCCGTTGCTGTACTGTGTAAGACTGTCCACACACCTTTTATAGTACTTATTTTTTATTAATTTTAAATATGAAAAATGTCAAACCAGTCATTTATTGAATTATTATCGAATCAACAAGGTTTTTTCCCCCTATTGATTCCCAGAATTTCCCAGATAAAAGAGAAACAAAATGGCTTAAATATTGTCTATTTGCATATAATACAGCTTTGGAGTCTATAAATCCTCTATAAATATGGCATGTGGTTTTTTTAAAGCAATAAGCCCCAAGAAGCCGTGGTTTACAGTGAATTTATAACAGCTAAGGGGCATTGTTAGGCACGAGGCGAAGCGGAGTGCTTTAAACCCCCTTAGCTGTTATAAATTCACTGTAAACCACGGCTTC